CACGATCAGCCTGCACATCTTAAATACCAACGCTTGATTTCTTCTTCATACACCAAGAAATCTTCCGGGTTAACATTCTTAAGATAATAAAACATGTATGTAAAGTCAATTTCGACATTTCCTGTATCAACATATTTTCTAAGTATTTCGATATCTTTATCTATTGTATATCGCTGCTGATTTACCGTTAAGTATTTACTGCGTTTTATAGATAAAATAAGGAAGGATGCGACTGTTCGATAAGAATAAGTAGAGCTATCCTAGTCACCCGAGCGTTGGTGTAATGTTTACTTACCACTTCAAATATTAACATCTGGCTATTAAACGAGTTGAAATTTTATACACTTCATTAAAAGCAAAACGTGTCACCCTCTAAGGCCTATAACTGTAACATGGATTTAAAAAAATACATTTCGGCTCTTTTTGAACATTATAAAGGCTCTTTTACTATCAAGCACTGAGAATAGTCAAAGGTGATGTCCTTCCGTCAGCTCTTGCTTTTTAATAAAGGAAGAGGACCGAAATCTTAAAAACATAAAACTTGAAAACATAACATATATCAACTGGGGCACTTAAAACGGCAATCTATTAGAAATAACACAAAATATGGTGGCTGATTTGTGTTACTTCGCGTTTTTGCCCCGCGACCCCGCCAAGCGAAAGGTCGAGAATTAACAATTAAAATGGCGGGGGCGCGGAGCAAAAACACGCTTATTAGCGGGGGCGCGGTCGAAAAGTCGAGATTTAATTGTAAAACCGCGGGGCTGCGAAGCGAAATATTTATTGTTATAGGGCGCTAATTAGCGTGCTGTTGTCCGCACCCCCGCCAAATTATCCTTAAAAACCTCGACTTTTCGCTCCGCGACCTCGCTAATTAGCGTGTTGTCGCTCCGCGCCCCCGCCGTTTTTGAAGTTCAAATCTCGTAATTTCGCCCCACGCCCCCGCTAATTACCGTGTTTTCGTTCCGCACCCCCGCCGTTTTATACATTAATTAATCCTCGTTTGGCGTCCCCGATAATTAGCGTGTTTTCGCTCCGAGTCCCCGCCGTTTTATTTCTTAAATCTCGTCCCACGACCACGCGGGGCGAAGTTTGATTTCTTAAATCTCGCCCGCACCCCGCTAATTACCGTGTTTTCGCTCCGCGCCCGCGCCGTTATATACATTTATTTATCCTCGTTTGGCGTTCCCGATAATAAGCGTGTTTTCGCTCCGCGTCCCCGCGTTTTATTTTTTAAATCTCGTCCCACGACCCGCGGGGCGAAGTTTTTATCTTAAATCTCGACCTGCGCCCCCGCTAATTACCGTATTTTCGCTCCGCGTCCCCGGCATTTTATTCCTTAAATCTCGCTCCGCAACCCCGCGAGGCGAAGTTTTTTTCTTAAATCTCGCCCCGCACCCCGCTAATAGGTGTGTTTTCGCTCCGCTCCCCGCCGTTTTATTTCTTAAATCTCGTCCCGCGACCCCGCGAGGCGAAGTTTTATTTCTTAATTTTCGACTTCCGTTTTTTTTGTGGGACATGCGCAGTTTGTTTTACACACAGGCATGGATGCTACAAATGTGTTACCAGATGAAGACGTGTATAAATTATTGAAAAAACAATAGCATTCTCTTGCGCATGACACAACTGAAACACCGCAAGACGAAAACACGAAAATTAAGAAATAAAAACTTTAAGGAATTTAACGGCGGGGTCGCGGGGCGAAAACACGCTTATAAGCGGGAGCGCGGGGCGAGATTTAAGAAATAAAACTTTGTCCCGCGGGGTAGCGGAGCGAGATTTAAGAAAAACGGCGGGGTCGCGGGGCGAAAACACGCAAATTAGCGGGAGCGCGGGCGAGATTTAAGAAATAAAACTTCGTCCCGCGGGGTAGCGGAGCGAGATTTAAGAAAAAACGGCGGGGTCGCTGGGCGAAAACACGCTAATTAGCGGGGTGCAGGGCGAGATTTAAGAAATAAAACGGCGGGGGCGCGATGGGCGGTAACATTATTATTAGCGGGGGCGCCGAACGAGGTTTAAAGAAAAGATGAAACCGCGGGGGCGCAGAGCGAAATTACGAGATTTGAACTACAAAAACGGCGGGGGCGCGGAGCGAAAACACGCTAATTAGCGGGGGCGCGGAGCGAAAAGTCGAGATTTTAAAGAATAATTTGGCGGGGGCGCGAAAAACAGCACGCTAATTAGCGCCCTATTACAATAAATATTTCGCTTCGCGGCCCCACGGTTTTACAATAAAATCTCGACTTTTCGCCCCGCGACTCCGCTAATTAGCGTGTTTTCGCTCCGCATCCCCGCCATTTTAATTTGTTAATTCTCGTTTATTTATTAGTTTATTTATTTTATTATTTATTCATTTATTTAAGATAGCCCATATTGGTCCTTTATTTTTAGGAACAATTCATGTAAACTGTATTTTTTTTTCAATGTATTTCCTATATTATTGACTAATACTGTGCAACTGGTTATCTGCCTGTGTAAAAGATTTTGAAATATTTCGACTTGATTTTTTGGCCACACTGAACTTGAAAACTTCTTATTTTTAGGTAAACTGATCCCCACCCCACATTATCCTATGTTTGACGGAAAGGCCGAGAAGATGCCTTTACGGGGTTGATACTGATTGAAAGTACTTTTTACACATGAGTTTACATGTAAATGAAAACAGAGAGTGTAATCTTTGTTAAGGTATAACGAATTGACATATTTGACATCCAGAGAAAAATAACGTCAGTGTTCCGGTAGAACAATGACAGAAAATATTTCTGACACTCATGATTTAACAAATAACAACATTTTGACAAAAAGTTCTGTGTACTCCACGGGGTGTGTCGTGGCGTTTTACTTGTTTTTCAAAAGGGGGTCATGAGTGAATTTTGTGTGTGTGATTTTCACAAAAAAGCAAACAAACAAAAAACGTAAATAAATGTTCAAATCTAATCATAACTATTCTAAAACAAAATCCCGGTTGGTGTGTCATGACACCTAGCTCCCATGGATACGTACATGTGATATTGATGTACAGTGGGAAAAGGCTATTTTTTTGTTCATTTTAACTTTATGAGATAATATTGATATAATATATCTTTATTGATGTAAACTAGAACCCATCCAAAATTTTTGGGCCAGTGAAATCATTGGCAATTGCTAAAATAAATTGTACTTAATCATGAAAATTTTTCTGTATACACGTTTATAAGCTCCGCCTACAATACGTGGACACGCTATTGCAGTTTCTATAGCATATTCAGTAAAACTGTAGGTTAGGATACTCCCCTCTCCCCGTGATTTAAAATAAGAATTATTTATTATGACGATTTACTTCATATATACTACTGTTATATAATAATTTAACCCTTTTTTAATTTCAAGTACAAATGTTGTAAATGTTTTCACATTGTTTTGATTCAACATGCAATTTAATAAAAGACAACCACTAAAGAACGTCTAAGACGGCAAAAATATAAATGTTCCAGTCTCGGTTTGATTGCGTCTGTTAATGGCCAGAAGCTACCGCCTACCTGCCAACCCCCACCACAGCACCCGCTTTTGTTGTGAATATCTGAAACAGATTGTATTTTGTCTGTGTGTTAATGCTGAATATACTAGCTTGATTTTCATTGTTGCTTAATGTATGGCTTTAAATAAAAAATCTTAAGAAAATCCCAACACAAGACGCTTATATTTTAAAGTTTGAGCATTTATAAGAATTGTAAGTGCCATATTTTATTGTTTAATACATGCGCTTATATACAGGGTTATAAATCAATTTAGCTGCATTATACATAAATCCATTGTAATTATTGCGGGGAAATAAGGTTCTAATTTCCCCTTTAAATCTTCAAGCCTCCATATTAATGCTAATTTCATGAAAATTATTAATATGTTTATAAAAGTCAAATTTTATGGAGCGAGGAAAGACAGTAATTTACACATTTTATACGACACTTCCAATCGATGAAAATTACAAACAAGACGTTAATCATATACAAAACAGCCCTTGCTCCGTTAGTCAGTCAGAAATATCGTAATAGATTCTTAAATATCAGTTATCTATCGCACATAAAATGTTGATTTTAACTTGAATCTTGAGTTATTTTATGTTTCTTATAATTATGTATTTTTCCTAAATATGTTTCTCAAATTTGATTTTCTTGAAATATTTTGGCTGTTCTGGAGACATGCGGCTAAGTCACTTTATACTACATGAAGTTAACATAACATATATATACACATAAAAGACTTTAAAATAAAATATAAAATATAAATCACTTTAAAAGTGAAACTTTTATTTTCAGTTAAATGGCCATGAGGATATCAGTTCAGTACTTTTATCCTTAAAACTCTTTTGTTATTATTATACCTAGAAAGATAATTATGATATTATTTGAGATAAAAAGTTAAGCGACCGAAACAGTCACTATATGTGTAACGTTATATTAATCAAGGAAATACATGTATCTACTTCATTATGTCAGCCAGTTTAAAGATGTATCTGGCCTATTTTTGACCTGCACAAACCATGAAAAAAACATATTATATTGATTATTTACGTAAAAATATGAATATTTTGTGAATACATGTATAACGGATTCCCCCCCGTTCATCCAATTATCGAATGTGAAAAATGTATAAAGTTAAAAAAACTGCCAGTTTTTTTAAGTCACGGATAAAGCCGAAGATGACGGAAATTTACGGCGAACTCCGTATCTTGTCACGTGACATGAATATTAATCAAATGACAAAACGAAAACAATGGCGGATGAACCGTTGCAAAAAAGAAAGCGTAGGTCAACTGTGACCGATTCGGCAAAGAAGAGGAAAAAACAAGCGTATAATATTCTTTTCAGTAAGGCCAGAATTCATATTGGTACGGAACTTTCACGCTGGCGTGAATTGAAAGGACGACTTTCAATAAAGTCCGACGCAAAACTTGCCAAAATTTTGCTGGACAGGTAGGATTCACAAAGTATTTATAATAATCAGCTGATCAGCTGACACTTTTATATATATTTTATATATTAGAACACTAAGATGTTACGTAATGAAAGATAGAAGGATATACGTAAGCTTTGTCATATTAATAGAAATGTTAAAATAATGTTTCGACCCAACATATTTTCGTACTGAAATGCGGAACAGTAATTTCCAGCTCCTGGTTTGTCTAAACAGTTACACTGAAATGCTGATGAGGCTTTTGACATATTAATTAACATTTTGGTGAAGATACTTTATCAAAGTAAATTTGTACTTGCTGTGATTAGAAAAGAAGGAAAATTGTACTGTGCCTTCTCTAGCGGCCTTCTGCAGTAGCAGTATATATTGATCAGTTGATCTAGATCTATTGGGAAAATCCCCTAAGAAATGTTTTTAAAGATTCATCCAATTTTCCCAAGAATTTGAATATTTCGCCCTTCTTTGAAGTTCTAGATTGTCTTTATTCAAACTAATTCCTAAGATTTATCTCCTAAAAATTCTAATTTCCCCATGGAATATTAGTGTAATATTATTATACCTTGTGAGTTACTTCCCTTGTATTTTAATCACCATTGTTAAAAGATGAATTCAGAAAAATGTTGTTGGTGTGTATTTCCCTTCTTGACATTTGATGTTTAATTTGGATCTACACTTGAATGAATTTTCTGTTCATACACACCCAAAGTAGTTATGTAAATATCTGATATGGTTTTTCAGATTTGATTCCGCCCAGATCAACCCTAGTGAAACGGCACAAGGGCTAACAGGTCATGCACCCATATCCCATGGACATCCCTCATCCACACCAGCGCCATCTCATGGATATGTGAAGTTTCCGCATGTTCATGTGTCAGAAATTTCATCTGCTTCAGAGATGGGTGGCTCAGAAAGGTACTTGTAGTCAAAGTTTTATCTTATATCTTTATTTAATAATAATATATTCAGTGACATGTATGTTGTTTTGAAAATGAGCTGTGTAATTTAGAAGCCCTTAAATATGCATGATTTCTAATCAGAGGAAGTGTTACATTGTCTGAATGTGGAATGTGTAAAAAACTTAACAGCAAGTTTATTTTTTAAAATGTTTGAATGTATTCTTGTAAAGACATTCTGTATTATCTTGTGAAGGTTATTAAATATGTTGTGCATTCAAGTAAGATATTGTGTTTTATACAGGGATCAACCGGAAATATCAGGTGTGGAGTCTATTCAATCTGAAGAAAGTGGACCTGGGTAAGAAATGAATAATAATTGCATCTATTCCGATGGGAAACAATGAATTTCTTACATGACATGTGCATTCTATTTGAGATTTACTTTATAAATGTTAGACATGAACATGCAAAATGTTAGACTGAACATGCAAGTTTTTACTCATAACAAGTGTTTCTAATGATTACAGTTGAGTGTTTAATTTGATAAATTTATTCATTCATTCAATTTTGTATGAATTTATTGAATTATTATTATAAAATAGGCATATGAATCTTAAACTATCTTTAGTATCCTTCATAGAGTCATTCAAATTCTTTTCTTTTTCTGTAGATCAACAGAGATGACAAGCTTGGCACCTGGAACATCTAAAGCTGGTCGTAAATTGGAGCAGAAAAGATTATCTTCATCTTTTGCAGATCCTTTCGAGTAAGTTCAATTTCTTGAAAAAGTAAAAATAAATTCACTTGAATAAATGAATAATTCCTAGTAACAATACAGCGCTGATTTGTTTTTTGGTAATCACCACATGATTACTACTTTGATTTCAAATCCTCATGTCAGGAAAATGTCCACTTCTTATTAAGCAACAGTTTTTAGTTCTTATATGCAAGGATAAAGGCCAGAATGGGTTGTGATTTTCCAACATCTTTATCTGGGAAAGAAAATTTATGACCTAGACAATAACAATAATATAGCATTTAGTAAGCTTACAATAGTAATAATAAATTAAGATTTCATTTCTAATTTCAAATACATGTAAGTTAAAGAACAGATTCGTAAGCTTGATCTTATACATATATGTGTATTTTTTAAACACTTGACATGCCATTTGATATTTTATGCAATGACTTTTTCTTGAAATCATTTTAGCAATAAATTGGAGTAGAAGACCTACATTTAAATGTTAAAATTTCAGCCTGTCCATCGATATAACTATTCAATCCGACAATGAAGAATCTGATGACCCAGACTATGAGCCTAGCTTTGTGTTATCAGCTGTTTTGTAAGAATTTTTCTTTGATATTATTATTTGAAAATTTTTCTTTGTAATTTTAATCCTGCAAAACATCTTAATCATAAGGATTGGAGCTTGTACTGTTTGCTAGTTAAACATTTTATTGTTGATTCTTTTTTTAAATTCTTAATTGCAATAGATTAAAAAATCCTTTTTTTCCCACTAAATATGCTTGGAAGTATCAATAGAGTACTCTATCATGATTTAGTAAAATTAAGATGTCTGCAGAAGAAATTGGTTTTATATCTTTTTTGTGTCAGAAATCCTGTAATAAATGATTTGATAAAACCCAGTCAGTCTCATATTGCTATTTGCAAAATATGATGTAAAATATGAATGACCATTGTGTTGTATATTTTAATCATATCTTCTTCTTGCATAGTTTTAAACTATTATATAAATGTCAACTCATAAAACACTGTCAAGTCTAGGTCTTGGTCACATCAGGCTTTAGAGGAAAATGTATGTCAAGGGCAATGTTTATTCATTGAGGGATGGTAATATAATTTGGCACAACATTTTCAACATTATAAGGAAAATGTTGTTCATGAAATTCATTAAGTTTGCACAAGGTTAAATTAATTTGTTTCTTTATCTGCATTTTTCTTTTTAAGACCTGATGTTCTTGATGACGAGGCAGAAGAGATGGCTTTTGAAGAAGTGGAATTTGGACTGGAAGTAGACTCAAACAGTATTGATGAAGAGGGTACAGAGGATGTTGCGGAACAACCTGGAATAATGAAGGTGACAACAGATGACCAGTGTGATAAAGTTTGTTCTGACACGCTTTGTTTGTCATTCCTTCCACAGTTAAAGATGTTGGCCAATATTACTGTAAACATGTGTAGTACAGCAGGTTGTAAGGAGACAGTAACCATTGTTGACAGCTTTGTTGGATCAGCTCTTTATTTCAAGTGGGTAAGTCTAATAATTTTAGACTAATCACATATTTCTTGGCATAATTAAATTGTGCCTTAGTACAAATGTTTTGTTATGTAAACTACACAAGTTATCTCGAATAAATAAAATCCGAAGTATGGAAGAAGAGGAAGAAAATCAGTTTGATAATTTATATTGCAAATGTTCTAACTGATTATTGCCTCTATTTACCTTTTATTGATAGCCTATTTATTCAAAAAACAAGTCAATATATTGTTGTCCTATATAATGGTGTGACCTGTTTAAATGTCAAACTGAGTAGTATGTTCTTATCTTATAATGAACAGTTACAATTACATATTACAAGTTTTGGAGTTAATGGTTAAATTTATGCATATTTTTTATAAAGATATCATTTAATGCAAATTATGAAGATGCCTGGGAAATTAAAAGCTGAAAGTTGAAATAATTCTGAAGGTTTTTTATCCTCATTTACATTGATATAACTGTGAATCTTGTGTGAACAAAATCTTAATCCAATAAAATTGTCACTACTTAGTTATCATTTAATTATGAATAAATTTCTTCCTAGGTTTGTACCAACGGTCATGTCAGCAAAGAATGGTGTTCACAACCAGTACTGAATAAACGTCTTCACTGTGGAGATTTTTTGGTTTGTGGATCAATCTTAGCATCAGGAAACAACTATGGGAAATTATGTTTATGGGCAAAGCTGCTTAATTTAAAATTTCCGTCGTCTGACCAATTTCACCGTATTCAAACCACATACTTGGTTCCAACTATAGACCAGTACTGGGAAGAACACCAACAAGAAGTGCTGGACACATATAGAGGTCAACAAATTGTTGTATTAGGTAAGACATCAATTTTTTCTTAGTTCTGATAAAACGTTTTGGACAAATATTTTTCACAGTTGTTCAAATATTTTAATTTCTTTCAGAATTATACTTGCAAGAAATTATTTTTCAAAAAATGCTATCCATATATATAAAAAATGCACAAATGATGGTGAAACTCTACCTAGAAAGTTCAAGTGTATGAAACATGGCCATAGGGTAGATTACATTTTTTATGTGTACATAGATATATTTGAAATCTTGTAATCAACATTGCTAACGTACAATCTATATGCACATTTATTTACTTGAAAATGATTTAATTGATTTGAATGTAAAATCTTCATGCTATATTGCAGTGTATGGTACAGCCTTTTATAATGATACAAAAGGTTGATATGATTATGAACATTGAATAGAAATAGAGAAACAATCTATTCCCCTTTTTATTTTATTAGTAGATACTTTTCTCTTTTTATTAGAGATTAATTGCTTATGTCTTTCAGGAGATGGACGGAATGACTCACCAGGACATTGCTCCCAGTATTGTTCTTACACTTTAATGGAAGATACAACCAAGAAGATTTTAACAATAAAAACACTGGATAAACGTATGACTGATAGAAAGTCGGTTAACATGGAAAAACTAGGGTTTGAAAGAGGGATGAGTGAGCTTGAGTCTGAACAGGTGGAAGTAAAAGAAGTTGTCACTGATGCTCATCTTGGTATAGGAGCACTCATGAGTAAGTTAATTATGTCAAACCTTATATCATCAAGAATTTCTCTGATGTGTTACAAAACTACTTTATTACTACTACATAAATTGGTGAACGATGTGACAACTTTAATTGATAAAAGGATAAAAACTTACCATGTCAGTTACATATATAAAGATAAGTACATACTTTAGTGCATCTTCAAAAAATAAGCACATAAAAATTGACTTGATAAGTTATGTGTATTGAAAGCTTATTTTTGAGGTAACACAGCGTGATAATACCCATTTATGTTAATATTTTCTGACAGTAAGACCTGTAGACAACATTTTTTTTCTTATTTCAGAATCCAGATACCCTGACAAGAAGCACTCCCATGATATTTGGCATGTTGCAAAGAATCTTGGAAAAAAAATAGTAAAGGTACCAACTCTTAAAATAGATATAAAACAGTTATTTCAGAAACTATTGTGCTGAATGACTTAAACCACTAAATGTATATTATGGTTAATTTATTATTGGAAACATAGATGATTGCTATGCAGTGATTATGTTATGTTTTCAGTTGTTTTTTTTAAATAATTATGTTTTGAACCATACAAGTTACTTACTGACATAAAACGAACTTGCAGTAAGAAAATGACCGAACCAAATGAAAAGTTGCACAAGGCAGTTTCTTAATGTCTTTGCAAGAAATCTGGTCTTCAGTCTAAAGTATGAATGATTATGGTGTCCACTTAGTGACTTGTTGGCAACATAAATTTTGCATTGGACATAGATTTTCATAATATACAATTTGTATAATTTCATCCTAACCTATTTTGTTCATGACTTGAAAAAACATTTGTCTTGACTTGTTGCTCAAGCTTTTAGCTTGCAAAAAAAAAGTGACAAAAAAGTCATAAATTTGTTGTTTTTATAGATTGCTCAGAAGAAGCAAAACTCTGTATTGTTGAAGTGGTCAAAGGACATTATCAACCATTTCTGGTTTGCATGCAAAGAAGCAAACACTTGCAGTCAATTTGTGGTAAGAATTTTGCATAAATGTTGATTTAATCAATGCAGTACATGTATAATGTGTTTAGCTTTGCTCGCTTCTTTTGAAAGTTTTAATTAGTGATACACTTGTTTGTGAAAAAAAAATTATTGCTTTGAAATTAATGTTTAGACAGAATTGGTGATGTCTGGTTATGTAATTGTGAATTTTGTAGATTTCCATGGAGAACATGTTAAAATGCATGCTCTGAAATGCCAGTGTAATTTGGTATATATTTCTAAATGTTATATATCTAATTGTTATACTGCAATGTGTTTAGAGTATCTGGAGAAGTGTCCTTCACCACATCACAAACACACATGAGTGGATGTTACCAGATGGAAATGGTCAGACAGGATGTTTACATGAACCCCTGTCAGCAGAAGAGACTCGGGACAAACCGTGGCTGAATCCCTCAAAAGATGCCGCAACATTGAAAGATTTGACCAGTCTTGTTTTAGATAAAAGACTTCTGAAGAAAGTGGGCTATTATTTGAACTTCAGGTACTTTAACTAAATTAGCTTACTTCGGAAAAATAGTGTTAAAAAACCCAGTATCATTTGATTTTAGGAGGCTTAAAGTTTCATCTTACTGTTTACTTTTATCTAGTACAGTTAAACTTTGTTCGCTTGAACTCGGATCGCTTGAACTCATTGCCTGGTCCCAACAAAATTCCTGTATAATATATATTGAACACAGATCATTCGAACTCTCGAACCTAATCTGTTGTCCCTTTGGCAGAAACATAGTGAAAATCACACCTTTTTGGTCAAACACAAAAATACAACAAAAGCTACCGGTCTACATGCTCTAAATAAGTGTCAGCCAGCGTGGAGCATGTAACATGAATTGTTAGTTTTTTTGTTACAGTGTTATCTATAGACTTGTACATGCGTTTTTAGTTGATGACTACAATAAATGTTGCTACTTTATTAATCCATTATTTACAATTAAATTTATCCCATGAAAAATGGGACATAAATATATTTTGAACAAGTTAGATAAATGATTGCCAAATTAAACTCAACCAATGACAATTTATGCATTAATATAGATTAATACAGTGTTCCATTAATACTTATTTGAAAACACTGGGATAATAATTTCTTATATTTAAAAGAAATGACGTATTTGACGAACTGATTTACTAGCAAAAAATTATATTGATGTATTTATCATTTGATAGATTAAGCTGGAAATCCTTAAGGCGTATGTCCTAAGTGATAATATTTCAACATTGGTTGACTCAAACTACCAATCTCTTGAACAAATTTGCACAGGCCCTCCCATTTTGAACGAACGAAGTTCGTCTGTATTTAATTATGAAAATCCTGCATATTAGATTAGGGTTTACCATTAAATGTCAAACTAGGTGGTTTGCACTAAATAATTATGAAAGATAATGTTGTGATGTACTTGTTATTATACCCTCACGAACCTAGTTTAGGGGGTATGTTGGGGGTTTGGGCTTTTTTTTTAGTGCCCGGGCCATAACTAGATTTTGGAATAGGTTTTGAAATCAAATTGATTTAACCCCTTATTTTGGGAAAACCCCTTTGGTTTTCATTTTAAACCCCGGGTGTAAAGGTCCTGTTAATAAAATCCCCAAAAGGGTTTTCCCAGAAAATAGTTTTAAAGTTAAAAATGAGATTTTGTAAAACGGGGTTACTTTAGAAAGGGTTTACTGCAGCCCTTTGTTTAAAAAGTGGCTGGGTTAGTTTTTAGCCCCCTTGGGGTTTCAAGGTCCCTGTTATTTAAAAATAAAAAATTGCTTAACAGACAGCACATAAAGGTCAAATGATTTTTTCTTTAAGTTTTGGTTGGGTTTTGCATTTTATTTAAAAATAATTCTTTTGACGCCCTGTTTTTGAACCTGCTGACTTTAAAAATTATGGGGTTTTTTTTTAAAATTTTTTTTTTTAGCCCCTTACTTTTCCCCTTAAAAAATTAGGGGGGTTTTAGGGAAGGTTTTTTAAAATAAAACGCAGGTTTTGGCCCCAATTTTAATTTCTATCCATAAACAAAAATTTAGGTTTTTAAAAATATTTCCAGGCCAAGCTGATCTTGGGAAGGTTTTTCTTCGCTTATTTGATGTATTGTTCAAAAAAATTTTTTTCCTTTTTCCCCCCTTTTTATAGAGAAAGGGAATCCCCCTTGCTGCTCTTGACCAAACATGAAACATGGGGGATGTATTGCCCAAAAAAAGGGGAACAAAAAGGGGTAAAAAACAGTTTTGGTATTGAAATTCTTGATGCAAAGAAACTGGTCTTTAACATCACTAGCAAATTATATAATAGTCTGTCTGGCAAGTAAAGCAAAGCAATGTAGTAAAATGATTTTACTTGGATTTATCAGATTGATTATATTTTGTAAAAACATTGCCTGCCTTGTAGAAGTGGACCAGGGGCGTCCGTGGCCGAGTGATTAAGGTCGTTTACTTCAAACCACTAACCCCTCACCGCTGTGGGTTCGAATCCCGACAGGGACTTTGGATTCTTTCATGTGAGGAAGCTATCCAGCTAGCTTACGGAACGTCGGTGGTTCTACTCAGGCGCCCGTCGTGCCTGAAATAATGCACGGAAGGGCACCTGAGGTCTTCCTCCACCAGTAAAGCTGGAACGTCGCGATATGACCTATAATGTGTCGATGTGACGTTAAACCCAAAACAAACAAACACAGAAGTGGACCAGTTATGGAAAAGTAAAAAAACTAATATTTCAAAACAGTCCAAAGTGTTATTATGTTTTCATCTATTTTAGATTGCAGAGATTATGGAACAAAAAGAGTGGCAGGTGGACAGCCCATGCCAAAAAAGTTCCCAAGGATTATGGTTATGTGAATGATCTGCAGAGACGGGCATTAAAAATGCGCATTAAGGATAAAATAGGCATGAGAAGGAAAAAGGACCTTGAAATGGAAGATCCAAGACGTATAGCCGCTCATTTAGCTCCCGTAGAACCGAAATCAACTAAGGAAATTATGGCTGAAAAAGTGTCCCGATTCAAATGAAGTGAACAATGATGCTCATAACTTCAAGCTATGTCACATTTATTGATACAAAGTATTATTGTAAGACAGTTGTGTCAAAAATGAAGGCTTCAGTAAGACAGCTGAGTCAGTGAAAAAGGCTTATGGGTTTTGTAAAATAATATGTGAAAGGCATTTCAAAGAAACACAAGAAAACAGCTAAGATGTGATATTTTTTCAATTTTCTCATAAAACATTTACATTGTACTACACAGGAGTTACACACAATAAAGTGTTATCATGTTACTTATTACAAAAATAATGTTATTGAAGATTCTTTTTTAAAGCTGCATGCCTCCAGATGAGCACAACTATTTTAGGGACATAACCTTGAGAAAAATAAAGTCAATTTATAAGAAAAGTATAAATGTTTTCAATGCAAGTAATTATTCATTTAGAATGTGCAATTCATGACCAACATTGCAGTCTTTATGGCAATTGTTCCAATGTTTGTATAACGAATCATTAGCCAGTTTTGCATATTGGGGCCAATTTTGTGGTTTTTTAAGTGGATAATAGAATTGAAATTTACTTTCTATTCCCTTGACACTATTTTACTTTTCAATTATTTTCGTGAGATAAGCATAAAGGTTGGGGGGCTTTTGCTGCTTTAAAAAAATTAAAAAATCTTTCCTCTTTCTTAAAATAAAATTATTAAATCAAAAAATTTTAAAAATTTTTGAAATCAAAAAAAATTTTTTAATAAATATTTTTAAAAATTTTTTAAAATTTAAAAAATGAAAAAATTTTTTAAACCCAAAGTCTGGGAAGCGGGCCTTTTAAACTTTAAGATCATGTTAAATTTTTGGTGTTGTTTTAAAATTTTAAAATTTTGGGCCCAACTATAGTGGGGTTACCCATTTTAAACATAACAGATCTACATTGTTTGAATAAAAAAAAATTTTTTTTTGTATTTTCCAAGAGATGGTCTGGGCAAATTTTTTTTTTCCCTAAAAATTTTAGTAAGTTAGTTATCTTTTTAAAAAATTTAAATGTTTCATTAAAACATTTTTGTTTTTGAAAGTTCCCTTTTTTTTTGAAAAAGACCTAAGGGAAAACAAATGAAAATATAATTTCCCCTATCTTTTCACTGTTTGGGGCCCAATTTAGTTTTTTTTTTTAAAAATTTGGGCCCCTTTCCCCAAAAAAATTGTGGGAAACCCCGCGTTTCGGATCCATGCTTTCGTTACCCAAAACCCTCTTTTAAATAGAGAAATTTTAAAAAAAACCGCATTTTATCCTGATCAGACTGCCCCAAAATCGGGAAAGGTGGGCTGGAATTTCCCTGCTGGTCAAAAACGCTTTCCCTTGGGGTTTTTGTTTTTCCCCGGGTCATATTTTTTTATTAAAATGATTAATGTAAAATAAAGAAGGCCGTGCCGATAGGGGCAATTTTTGGTTTTATTTTTTTTGTTTATTTTACCCTTTTTCCTTAAAGGGAAAAAAGATTCAATTTGCAGAAAAATTTTTTTTTTTTTTTTCTTAAAAGGAACTTGACATATGGGGCTGAAAAAAATGTTCCCTTAAATTACTATTTATGTTAAAAGGTTTTTGACCCCTAAATTTTTTTGCCAAAAAGACCCCAAAAAAAAAAGTGTTTTTAAAGGTTTTAATGAAAAGGGGTTTTGAAAAACATAAAAAGTTTTTTTTTTATTTTTAAAATATTTTTTTTTATATTTTGATATATTTTTGTTTAAAGGGGCCCCGTCATTTTTTTAAAATTTAAATGTTTGTTTTTTTGGGGTTTTAAAACCCCAGTGGGTCCCTTTTAAAATTTTCTTTTGGTTTTCTGTCACAGTGCTTTGTTCATGTATTTTATTTATTTCCCAAAAATGAAAGAAAAATTTGGAAAAAATAAGGCAAATTTTCTTGTCACCCTTTTAAAAGGTAGTTTAAAGTCATTTAAATTTAAAAAGTCATATCTAAATTATAACCCGTCCATTTTTTTCAAAAAGGGGTTTGAAAAAATTTTTTTTGTGATTGCTTAATTTTTATAGGAAAAATTTAATTTGGTAATTGTTGACTTTTGAAAGGGCGCTTATGTCCAAAAACCCAAGGGTAAAAACATAAAACTGACGTTTTGTTATTTGAATATATTATGTAAGTGACAGTTTTTTTTGTCCATTTTTCATGTTTTATTCTTTAAAAATTTATGTAAAAATTTTAAAAGCTTTTCCCGTTGTAGACAACAAAAGGATTTTTTAAAACCCCGGGCAAACCAAATTTTTCAAAAGGGAAATTTTCACCTGTTTAAACTTTGTTTTAAAGTATTTTAACAGGTATCCAAAAAACATGTTTTTGCTAAGGGTTTCCTTAAATTTTGATAATATCTAGATGCTGAATAGAGCTACTACGTGTCAATTATAATAAGCTACATATCTATAACTTATCAAAACGATTTATAGTGTCTGACATAAAACATAATGTAGGTAAATGTTTGTACAAGGTCTCATGAAAAGTACAAAGATATAAACGAATAAGGGGAAACATACAAAGCTTATAAATAATATTTCGTCAGCAAATTTTACAGACAAATATAGATACTTAACTTTCGAACTTGTTCACACACAGTAAGCCATAATTTCCATACATCTATATGAGATAAGAATCATCGCAAAACACAATTACTTGCATATAACTGGTATACAATAGCGGGTTAATGCACGTATATTCGCAACTTAACATCTGCAGAATCAAGAGGAAGCATTTTAAGCCGGCGCCTGCAGCAGAAGCGAATAAAACAGAAAGTCCGGTTGTATTTGCAGGTGTCCATGCAGGGCAAAAGATGCATTGCAATGTAGGGGTAAGTCTTATTTGGTCATTCCTTGTTTGTTTATTTATTTATTTTGTTGTTGCTCTTTTATTTTTGTATTAAGAAATTGGTTTTATTATCTATCCTTTTCACACCCCTGTATTATGTCGTTTGACAGTTATGTTTTTATTTATGCAATTAGTAGTTTTTACATCGCAACCGGAGTCCCGCATATCAAAGAGCCT